TATTATTATTATTATTATTATTATTATTATTATTATCATTATTATTATTATTATTATCATCATCATATTTAATTATAATCATTTACTTATAATATAATATGAACAAATAAAATTGTTATAAAAATAATTAAGAATACACGTATATGAAATAAATGATGTTTCCAGTTATTATTATTAATAATCTGAAAAATTAATTTTACATTCAAAACAGATAATAAGTCAATCGATTAAAACTGATACAACTATACGAGAAAAATATATGCATATAATTTTTCCTATTCGTCTATAAGTAAATATTGATAATCGACAGAAACAGCCTGTTCAATTTACAACTGCTGAGTTGCATGCAGTTCTGTTATTAATATTTATTCAAGTTTTTGTTCGATGTGCCACGGGAAAAGAACGAAAATACGTGCTATCATTTTAAAATTAACATTTTATAAAATTAACATTAATATAGTTGTTTGTCAAAACAGTATTGAAAACTTGATATTATGCATTTAACTATTATTTTGGTATTTAATATCGATTTTATTGAAATTTATAATAATGTTGATTATCATTGATAATGATTGAAATTCGCTGCTTCGATTCTCATGATCATATTCGTATTTCAATAAATTGAAATATTCTTAATCCTTACCTAAATAAATATTTAAATAGATATTCTTTTACTTAAGTTTGAATTTCAAATTTATCTTTCAAAATATTCAAATTTATCCATCAAAATATTTTCAAATTCAACTAGATCATCTTTATTTAATCTGATATTGATTTAAATTCCAAGATTACAATTTCGTAAAGAAATTAAAATAAAGAAATATTAAAATCAAAAATTGAGTAATATTTTTTGACAAAAATTTTGTGATAATTTTTTATATTTATGCAAAAATTCAATAAGGATAATTTTATTCATTTAGTTTTTTTTTCTGTTTACAGAATTTCTTCAACATGCGCCATGCATGCAAAAAGTGCAACCTGAATACGAGCTCTGCTATAAGAAATACCAGAAAACCACTCAGGAAATCGAAAGGAGAAATCACACGAATGGATCTCTCAAATCTCTGTGTTGGTAAGTAAATATTATAAATAATCTTTATTAATTCATAAGCCGATCACATTTTCTTGTAAGGATGTATTAATAACACAATATAACAAAACATATTTTTTCAAAATATGTAAATTATGTAAATGTAAATTATTTTTATATAATTTTCAAAATATTAATAATTGTTAAAATGCAATTAATATTGCAATAATATTTGGCGATGTAAATCGGTTCATGAATTATTGTTGTAGCAATAATTGTTCTTTTGTTCTCTTTTTGATTCGGAGCATCGCGACGTGAATATGAAAGCTATATACAAAATACTGATTTATAAAATTTTTCTTTTTATGTTTTTTTTTATAACAATATTAGATTATTGCAAAATTTCTTTTCATTTTTTTTATACGGATCTATTTTCGAAAATATTTATTTCATTTTTTTTATACGAATCTATTTTCGAAAACATTTATTTCATTTTTTTAAAATAGTAGTAAGTTACATATTAATAATATTTTATTATTTATAAAATTTTACATATTTTATATTATTTTACTTTATATATAATGTGTTTATTTCTTTGGAATATTTACTATTCTTACAGAAATGATTTTGATTTTGATTTAAGTAAAATATTAAAGATAGTATTGTAATATTATAATAATGCTTAATGTAATAATAAAGAATCATTTGATGATTTAATTGTTCTATTTGATATGTAATTATAAAAGAATAATTTAATCAATATATAATTTATATTAATTTTCTAATATTATTAATTGATTTATTTTGAAAAAGATTTTAAGATTCTTGATAATTAATGAACAATATCATTAAAAAATAAATTAGATTATATATTTTTCAATTTATAACCGTACAATATGCGTACAAATAATATTGAGAGAATCTAATATATCAAAGACATTC